ATATATATATATATAGAAATTTTTATGAGGTGCCACAATCGATTTGATGATATGACATTTGGAAAGTATCATTCTTCCAACCCTTCCAGGTCAAATTTCACCTAAAATTAACGCATTGTTCACGTACAATAATCGTTTAAAGCAAGTGAAAAATTTAGTAGTTGCCGCGAACAAAAATGAAAAAAAAAAATAATTTCTGTGTAATATTACAGAATTAGGCTTATAGTAAGTCAAGTAAGAGCGTGGTCGACCTCAAAGCTAATAAAAGATATCGCCCTAAATCTATCATGAATCCATAGAGGGTACCTTTGTCCTTGATGCACTATCAAGGAAGATTCAGTTGTCATTGAACTTTCTTAAGAGAATCACATTAAGCGCCATGAGTACCAAATACGCATCACGCTATGAAGCGTGTTCCTCACGTTGTGTTTCTCTGCACTCACCCGAAAGGATTCTAAAAATGTCACAATTAACGGCTGCTAAATATGTGAAAAAGTCGAAATCATATATAATCGTACAGAAGTGAGTGCAGCGATATAATGTGGCAAAAAATGTCGATGATTTACCGGAACGTGGCTCGATATGCAAAGTGGACAAAAAAAGACGATAAAAAAATAGTGAATCTATTTTCGCGGAATCCTGACTTAACACTGCGTCAAGGACAAGCAAAATTAAAGTAGAAAGATTTAGATATACCGTATGAAACTATTCAAACCTATTTCAAGGCTAATAACATGAACTCGACCACGCTCTTACTTGACTTACTGTAAATGATTTCTCGTTCTATTCTAAATCCGAAAAATAGGGTGGATAAGAATCAATTTGACCCAATTCTATGATTTTGCACGAAAATCATTTTGTAATTATACTGTGGTCTTAATCGTCGTTGTCACAGTTTTAATACTATAATAGTCCGTCATATTTTTTATTTTATAGCCAACGCATGCATAGAACTGAACTCTTCGTTGGCTCGTACTGTCGCTACTGTATGGGCACAGTATATACAGTACGCAACTCTCTATCAGCACCTTTGATGTGTTGGCCAAAATGGAGTGCGCATGCCCGAAATAAGTTCCCTAATAACGCCATCTGAATTTCTTTCTCAGTTGCTCTTTATTCTTTCCCCTATCTCCCTCATCCCCTCTCTTTCTCTTTCCCTCTCCCTCCCCCCTTCTCTCTCTCTCTCTCTCTCTCTCTCTCTCTCTCTCTCTCTCTCTAGGTCGTTTGTACGTACATCAAATTAATCTGAATGTAATAAAACTCAAAGAAATAGATTCATAATTGTAATGCAGTGCTTGCAAAGATTTGCACATTCCGGCGAGCAATCCCAACCATTACTCAAGACTCGGCGGCCGAGCCGTCGAGCGCTCACGTGATACTCTGGTTCAGGAGCGTCCCTATATACTGAGAAAGTCCCAGAAATATACAATTATGGTAACGTATATCGACAATAGCTTTCCACATCACCCGTGAGGTACTATTGTAAGATGTATTTTTTTTTAATGTGGTTTCCCCAGTAGGTCTATTCCACAAAAAGAAGATACTTAAATACTCGAATGTGGCTTGGCAGGAGAGCAACATTATATACTGTATTATACGATATATAATTTTGATTTTTCTGTTTGATTCTTTTTATGGAATAGGTCTACTAGGGAAACCACATTAAGAAAAACATATCTTATAATAGTATTTCACGAGTGATGTGGAAAGATATTGTCGAAATGTACGTTATCATAATTATGTAATGTATTAGAAAACTACGTTAAGTATATCATTAAGGAATAATGAATAAATTAAAAATTTCTATTGTTAATTTATTCATTATTCCTTAATAGAAATAAATTATTTAACATAAAACATGTTTCAACAATAATTTGGCAAAAGATGCGCTCCCAGTATTTCTAGTATAGGAACGTTTCTAAGCCAGAGCGTCACATGAGCGCTCGGCGGCTCGGTGGAGGCCGTTCGCCGGAATCAACCCGAAATGTGCAAATCTTTGCGAGTACTGTTGTAATGCATTGCAAGAAAAAAAAAATAAGAAAATATAAAATTATATGTATAAATGTTGTACGATACAAATATATTATACTGTAAAAATATTTTAATTAACTATTGCGACACATGATGCTTGTTTTCCTGCTAGATCGCTAGCATTTTATTAGAGTTGTATCGCAC